TGGGTTACTACAGCCTTTAAGCAACCCGTTTACCACAGCATCAAGATGCTTATGGCTCAATGTAACACTCCTGGTAGAAGGCAAACAGCAATATCAGGGGTATATTGGGGTAATATAGGGGTTATAATGGCATAATGAAAATAAAATGGAAACTACTATTTGGGGTTTGGTTAGGGTGGTTTAGGGTTTAGAGTGGGCCCAAGGGACCCCAGCAATGTATAGGAACTGTAACAGGGTCAATGGGGGCTGGATTGGAGCTTGTCTATTTTTTTATAAGGATTATTTGGGTAAATGCCCACATAACATGCCTTGGACAAGACAATTTTTTCCTCCTCCTATAGTTCATCCCTTGCCCCTCATGTTAGCCCCATCACCCCGTACGTCATGCTCCCAGTACAACTGGAACCTCGTATGTAAGCGCTGACATTATGCAGCGCAGGGGCCGGTACTAGATACTAAGCCATGGGTCAGAAGCAAGTCATCCGAAAACTTAAGAGCCTGAAACCTAAACCCTAAACTCTGAACTGTATAAACTCGACTTTAAACCCAGACACCTAGGCTTTGAACCCTAAAGTCTCACCGTGGAATCCTTGCACAAGTCCAATCAGGCCCTGCTTGCGGCAGGGGAGACGCAAGATTTATCGGGTTTTTGGCCATTCCGGCTTGCAGCAACAATTCCCACACATGTAATAGGAGTTATCGTAGCCGCCTCTTGGTAAAACAGTTTTGAAGGACAGGTAGTGTGAAGAGGACTGACCAAAGGCTTACCTGGACCTCCAAGATATCCACAATGATAGCCTTCAACGCCCTAATGATAAGGAAAACGAGCTATCATTATGAGTATTCGGGACGTCATGGTAGGGGCTTAAAAGGCTTTGGGAACCTAAACCCTAAACCCTGAAACCTGACGGGTTTGACAAATCACTCACCTGGCGCCAGGCGAGATTGTGTGGTATTTCTGCAGTTGCCGGCCGCTTTCGCCTGGTCCGCAAGGACTTTTGGACTGGTTGACGTTTTCTGTTGTCTCGACTGGCGGGGCGATGCTAAAGAAGCATGACAGCAAAGAGGTCTTTAGGGACTAAATTTGAGGGTTGGCGCTTGCGACCTGGCATCTTGAGATCCAAGCCCGGCCTAGCATATGATGTAAGGTGCAATGTTTACGGTGAACCACAACAAGACAGTGCAGGCCCCATGAACCTTTATAGCTGTAATTGCAACCAACATTTTGCAAGATCAATGTGCACCCCAAACACGATGTCAGAGGGTAACCTGATTCCTGGCCACTGGCGGTACCTGAGGAAGACATCTCGTTTAGGCCGCATGGAACCATGCAGCTTAAGGGGTCATAATTTCAATCTTCCTCTGGAATTAAGACAGGTCATATCGCACATATCCCTGTGTTTCCCTATATGTCCTTATGAGTCCGTGCAAAACCACCTTTTTCCTCATATATCGCTAAATAACCTCCTTTCAAAAAGGACCCGCCAAACTCTTCTTGAAAAAATGACTGGAAACCCTCATCACCCTACGCACTAACAGCGGCCCTGAGCTTGGGGTTCAAAGATTTAGCGCTTTTGGGATTCAGGGGTTTAGGGTTTAGGGTGTAGGAATCAGGGGCTTGCAGTTCAAGGTTCGAAGTTGAGGGTTTACCGTTTGAGTTGGGTAAAACCAGCAAATCCTACGAAACTTTGGGCGCCAAAAACTCTAAAAAAAACATGTTCAAGTACCCTCTACCATAGACTACGGAGGAATCTAGAACCATGACATTGCTAAGCAACCTCCTCCCCCCCACACACACTAAACCCAAAATCAGCTAACACCCGACAACACTCAACCTTCAACTTAGGTGGACTTCCCACCCTGTAACAGTGGTAATGTAGACCCATGACTAATCAACCCCTCCTTCAAGGGCCTTAATATTCGGATCCCTATTATAATCCCAATTAAGGGGAGGGTGTTTATTAATCATGGGTAGGGGGTATGATAGGAATATAAGAGGAGCGAATATGATCACTACTATCCCTTGTAGTCACTATTGCTGGGTGGGGGGTTCACCCTACCTTGAACCCGAATCTACGTAGGCCTTTCTAAAGTGCTCCCAGGCCACGGAAGACCGAGCTCTGAAGCCCTCAACCATGAGTGGCAAATTACAAACAACAGTCAGAACCTTCAATCTATTCAAGCCACTTTGACATCATCTTTTATTTGAGACCCAAATCCCTAAGCCATAATTTGGGTGAGGTTGGATCAGGTGGTTATAAATTGCCCCGCATGAGCCCAAACCCATAGCCTGGGATCGAGCCTTCAAGAGGCAAGTCCGCACCCGGAGCCTGACGAGATAGTATAGGGGTTGAGGGTTTAGGCGTGTAGAGTTTAGAGTTTAGGGGCTGAGGTTTTAAGAGTCGGAAGATCTACTGTAGCGGCCTAGAAAATGACAATATGGGATGTTCGGGTGTGTTTGCCAAGGCGTTTGGAACCCATTTCCCCAAAACCATCCTCTCACGTCAGTGTCTGGGCCGAACAACTGGCCACAACGGAACCTCCAGGAACTAGGGTTGGGGGTCTGGCATGCTTAAGCGATCACCACTGAGACTCGGAACCTAGAGCAGGGAAAGAGCATCACTGATAATTCAAGTCTATTAGGTTTAGGGTTTTGGGTAAAGGGGTTTATTACACTACCAGCCCTAGAGGAGGATTTCAGGTTTCGAGTCTCACAGCTTTGAGTTTCAGGTTGAGCTGTTCGGCTATTGGGTTTGATTAAGGGGGACAAAATCTAATTATACTTTTACGTATAATATTACAGTTATGATTACATATTTATATTAATAACGATACTAATTATATGAATAAGTACGTAACAGAGCACAGCTTGCCTAGCAGAATGATGGTGCTCATGCTCCACATGACGACCGTGGAAGGCTTCGTAAACAATTCTTGAAAAAACAAGCACTGTACTCTTGTGGTCGAGGGTTGAGGGGTTTGGGGATCGTGGGGGGAAGTTCTTGAAACGAGCTCTTGAAACGATGCCGGTCTGTGCAGGGCGGGGCCTGTTTCATGTCAATTGCTTCCCCCTAAACCCTCCATTAACCCCTAGGCCACAAGCCCATACTCTACCCGAGGAGGCTTGCTTTTCTGGGTTTGCGTTTCAGAGCTTACTTAGAGCGAGTGGCAGTTGTGGCAGTCGCGTCGAACCCAAACTATACCCTGTCGAAGGGACTGTGGTCTTTGCACGTACCCAGACAACCTAAAGCATCCAAGAAATGGAACCCTGCCAAACATGACCCCATTACTATCATGATACTAGGTAGGGGACTCTTGGGGAAGATTGGAAAGTTCCACGATCTGGGTCTGATTTGGATCCTTCCCCGAAACCCCAACGAAAGGGGGTGTGAGATCGCTTCTGAAGTCCAACATTTCTTTGGGAAATCCACAGCTTCAAGGTCGTTCTATTTAGGGTTTAGGGTTTGAGGGTTGAGAGTTTAGGGTTTGAGGTCCAAGTTTTCTGCAAAATCCTCACGCTCCAAACAGCTGGCATCTAATCCCCAAACTCTGATCCAAAAAGCCCCTAAACCCTAAACCCAAACCCTACGCCCTTCAACCGACAAGGTCTTGGGAGTTCCCCAAGCTGTCCGCTGTACTTCTTCCTTGCCCGACCAAAGCAAAGAGGCCTTAGCTTTTTAACTCTTTTATGGTTTAGGGTTTAGGGTTTAGGGGTTCAGAGGCCTTAGTTTTCAAGGCTTTCATGGCTGAGCGCCAGATGCGCTATCCTAAGCCCTGAACCGTATAAAAGGTAGTTTCCAAAAATAGGGGACCACTCCAGTATAGACCTCAAAATGCTACCAGCCTTATTCTAGGCTGTAAATAAGGTAGTTTCCAAAAACATGGGACCCCAGTATAGACCTCGAAATGCTTTAAGCCTTATTCTAGATTCCCTCCAAACCTTGGAGTCTGGTGCAAGCCCGGAACCCGACGGGTTGTTTTCTAAGTCAACTAAATGCAGCACATAAAATTTGCGTGCCGGTGCGCGGATTTTCGCAAAAATTCAAAAATCCAAAA